CCGGCGGCTGGAAGCTGCCCACAGGCTGTGCTGGGTGTCTCATCTCACCCACTCCCCTGCCTGCCAGCAGCACTGAGGAGGGGAAGCCCAGACAGAGTCATTTCTTCGTCTAGCAGGAAACACATGCAAATGCAAGAGCTTGAGAGCACCGCTCGGGAAACCCCCGGCCCAGCAGCCACCCAAGGCACCGCAGCTGGCCCTCAGCCCCTCAGTTCTGCCGTGGGTGCTGGCGAGGCTCAGCACTAAGGGCACGCACAGCCTGGCACTGCAGGAGGGGTGCGCAGCCACACCAGCAGCTGGAAAACCCTGGAAATGGAAAGTCCCAGGGGGAGGGGAAAAAAAAAAATTCCACACCTGGAGAACAGGCTGTCTCACACCATGTAAGGACAAAGAACAAACCTGCCTTTTCCCCTGGTTTTGGCCACTAGTCTTACAATGATGGAGCCAACTTACTCTGTGCCAGACTAACAGTGTCAGGCCACACAGGACCTTGGCACTGCTCCTCAGACAGGCACACGTTTGTACAATGGCACTTCCAAAATGGGAAATGGCTGTCAGAAACAGGAATCCTTTACCCACCCCAGCAGCAGAGCAACTCAGCTGCCTCCTCTCAGGCAACCTTGGAGGTTGCCCTCAGCATTACAAGGCCACAGCCTGAGCAAGAGCGGGACACAAAGACCTGAGCCAGACCCCGAGCCAGGTCCCCAGCAGGGCCAGCTGGCCAGGCTGAAGTCCGCATAGCAATGCCAATTAAATCAGCAGGTCCTGCTTCTCCCCAAGCTCTCAGGTCTCTCCCTTCAGGGCTGCTTTCCCTCCTTTAATATCTTGGTCCCACTTGACCTTTTATGCCCTTGATGGGTGCTAACGAGAACCCACCTGGCCAAGCACCTTGGCTGTGCCTCTCGGCTGGGCTGCCAGCCCCCCATCAGCCGTGGCTGCTGGCTCTGCACCGTAGTAAATAGCATGTAGGGGGAAGGCCACATGCAGCACAAACCTCAGGGCTAATTTGTTCTTTCAGCATGAGCGGGTTTGAGCCTGGGTTTTAGCTGTTTTCCCAACTGCCCTACAGCCTTGGATCAGAGCAGGTTTGGGGAAGCCAAAGCCCTAGGTGGGGTCTCACTGGCTACACTACTTGTAGGTGTCTGTCATGGACATTGCTGCTGGACGAGGGAAAGGATAAGAAACAGGTTTAGATGAGGTTTGAGGTGTAGTGACTTCTAACCACACTAGATAGTCACACACCACGACCTCTTCTCCTTCCCCATTGTGCTGCGACTCATCTGTGGAGCTGGGGAGTGGGCTCTCCAGGGCTGCACTTAAACACTATTTCCAAATGACCCCCCGTGACCTTTCTGCTGCCCTGGAGTCAGAGGAAAAAACCCAGGTGGTAACCGGGCAAACTAGATTTGCCTGTGTATGATCTGGCTGTAATGTTCTTTTTTCAGTGTAATGGCATAACACATCCTTGTGGCCCTGCTAGTCTGGTACTGGGGGTGACTAATGCAGGATAGTCCCTAAGCTTGAGTACACCCAGCACCTTTCAAAGCGCTGATTACAAAAGAAAGGCAAAAGCTTTGAGACAAGGGGATTACCCGAGATGCATCTAATCTGGAGCTCTGTGTCTGTTTGTCATGTGATAACTGGGTATACTGTATCCCATGGGTACTGCATCTTGCTGGGATATTACGCGCGGCTCATGTGCTGTATCTCCATGTGGGCTGGCCACATACACCCCTCAGCTGTGGGGACCCGTCCTTGGGTGCTGTATGGAGCCGCACGTGCTCCGTTGGGTTACACACTGCCATGACTTGCATTTTCTCTATAGACTTTGTAACCTTTGGGGTGTCTGTGGTCCATGCTCTGGCATTTTGGGGGCCTGAAGGGCTTGTCCGCGTCTCCCCATCCCTGCTCTGTGCAGCACACAATGGCCATTGTTTGCCTTCGGGGAGGGTGAGCAGCCTCTGGCTTGGGAGGAACAAAGCCTGGAGCCAGTTCCTGCAAACACAAAACATGCCTTTTTATCACTTCGTGACAAATTAGTTTGTCAGCAGCAGGAAGTGATGTTACTGCCGTTCTGACCAAGGGGAAACTCCTCGTGGTTTCCATGGGGATGTATGCAACTGTAGAACTACAGGTTTATATAAGCTGAAAGCCCTACGCATGCCTGCTGCATGCTGGGTTTCTAGGGGGCTTGGATCGGATACGAGGGGCAGGGTCTCAGCCAAGCCCCGCTAGCTCGGGGGGACAGCTGGCTCATGTGGGAGCCGGGGGAAACGGGAGTTCAAAGCTGTAAACCAGGGTGAACCATGTGCCTTGATATCCCAAACAAACAAAACAGCAAAGCAGGGAGAATAAATGAGGGGCGAGAAGGGAAAATGCCTCCCTAACACATCCACAGCGGACAAAGTTCAGCTCGGCTGTGTCATCAAGGCGTCCTCTGGCTCCACCACGCACCAGCTCTGCCACTGCCCATCTCAGCCCTCGTGCCTCCTTGCCCGGCTCATACCTCCTCCTCTGCCCCCCACCTTGCCGGCCACCCCGCTCCTTCCCCCCCTGCTCCCAGCAAAACCCCCAGCTCAGCCCATCCACCTCCCCAAAACTGTGGCACTGAGGTGACATTTGCAGGTCTCACTCTGATCTCTCTTACTTTTCGCTGTTGTTCTTGCCCCCTTATCCTCCCCTTGTTTGGACTAGGAGCAGTTTGGGATCTGGGTGCGATCCTGTCCACAGAGAGTTTGCAGGAGTCTGTGGGCTCTGGGCACCGTGAGACTCTGATTATGGGCGACAGCAGAAGGATCACAATAAAGACTTGGAAAAGGGTATCACATGTCTGCAGAGCTGGAAGTGCGTGTCGGTGCCTCGCTGGGACCGAAGCCCTGCTGTCGCTGGCTGGCTTTTCTGCAACAGGCTTTGTGCTGAAGCAGCTCTCTTTTGCACCCCTCTGTCAGGTGCCTGCTTAGGTTATAAAAGCTGATCGGCTGCCAGGTAATGAGTTTTATTGTTCCAAGAAACACATAAACAAGCTGCCCTGGCTGACGGGGAGCGGATTTCTGTTTGAATTGCGATTAACAGGCAGCATTTTTTTTTATCAGTTGCATGGCCAGGGCTGCCAAGGTTGTATTTTTCCACTGAACAAGCTCTGCTTTGCTTTGAAGGTGAAAGTTTGTTCCACTCTTTACTGCAGGTGTAAAAAGGCTCACGTATTCAGAAACAGCCCTGCATGCTTTACAGGTAGCAGTGGTAGGTGCAATCCTACGGAGCAGCACAACCTGCCAAGGGACTTTCCACGGACGAAGGGGTTTTGCAGGATTTGCAGCATGGGACAGACTTTGGGGAGGAACATTGACTTTGAGGTTCATGCACGCTTCAGGAAAATAAGGGTTTCTAACTTCGTTTCTTAGTGCCCAGGGATTTCTCCTCTTTTTAGCTGCTCCATTTTTTTTTTATTCCCTTGGTGTCAGGTTGAAGCTTGGCAATGGCTGACGCGTAGTGCTGACGACAGAGCTGCATCGGAGGGGTAGCTCACGTGGAAGAATTTTAGACGCAGCAGTGCATCATCCCATCCTTCAAGGGCACCTTCTCCCAGAAGAGTGCTGGATTTTAGCACCATTAATACTCCAGGTAACTTGCAGGATTTCAGCAGGACTTTGTGGTGCTTTGCTTGTCTCCAGTTATGTGACAAGAGCACAGCTGCTTTACGCTTAAAAAACCCCTCATCCATAAGCTTAGGAGCGTAACTGTTAAAATGCCTTGATTTTACACAAAGCGTCATAACCTGCTGTATCTGCCCAAGCAAAACCATTTTTGATGGGGCAAAAGTAGAATCTGACTCCCTGAATACGAGAGATGCAAAGACTGATGGCTCCCTTCTGGAGTGGATGTGGCACCCAATGTCCTAGTGCTCCCCCAGCATCCATCTCCCTATTACCAGTATTACTACCCTGCCCAGGAAAGCAAGCTTCCAGCTGAATCTCTTCCACACCTGAATATGAGATGCAAAGACTGATGGCTCCCTTCTGGAGTGGATGTGGCACCCAATGTCCTAGTGCTCTCCCAGCATCCATCTCCCTATTACCAGTATTACTACCCTGCCCAGGAAAGCAAGCTTCCAGCTGAATCTCTTCCACATCAGCTTCCCCTGCTAAGGGTATGTCATAGCAATGCTGCTTTCCCCATACACATCCCATCCCGTGGAGCTGTGCAGTTCTGGCACACCACACAGCATTAACCCTGCACTGTTTGCTGCCTGTCACCCTCACCCTGCAGCTCCTGCCTGTGAGCTGCCGGGAGTGCTGATCTGTTAGAGCTCCCCTGCCTGGCTTTTGATACGCTACATGACACTCAAAGCCAGATAAAAGTCACTCTAGTGAGAATCTGCAGCAGGAAAGAATTTATTTGGATCTGGGTAAGAAAATAAGTGACTTGTTGGTTACCTGATCTCTTGTTATGCCCTGATTTGTTGAGAGATAGCCATGCATCAGAGGCAGTTTGAGTTGCAAAAAAGGAATCAAGGAGGTGGGACAGAAAAAGAAAAAACCTTGGCACAAACTCACAAGCATTGGAGATCTGTTACCAACAGGTTAATTTTTAGACTTAACCTTTGAAGCATTGAAAGTAAACAAGTAATAAGGAAGCTTCTTCCTCCTTCCTAGGAGAAGGACTATTTTAAATTGACTGTAGCCCTGTGCCCAAGTCTCAACTGGCTCAAATAGCTACAGTTCTGTGGCCATCACTGCAGCCAAATCCACCTTACAGCTGAGAAGCCAGCCTTGGCTCTCTGCCACTGCGTGTAATTATATGGGGACAAAGAAAAGCTCAGGTTAAAAAGCAGCAGTTTCTAGTCAATTATGTTGTTTAAACCCATTTTTCTGTCTAGTTCAGTCAAGACCCGAGGTCAGAGTTGAAAACTCAGATTTTTCTCTTGCAGCTCCTCATGTGGAAGCTCCCAGGTGATTTTTGGGACTGTAAAATGCAAGCTTTTAAAGAATGTATCATCCAGCTCAATAGAAATATCATAATTTATTCTGTTTGTATAAAAAAGTTAATCATGTAACAAAACTATGTCTTCATAAGAAGAAATATATTATTTCACATCATAAATAAATCAGCAAAATCAACACATAACCCTTGGCAACTCAAAAAAGCACTCGCCTGGTGCTTTCACGTCAGTGCTTAGGAAACAAGGAGAGCTGACATATATACACACACAGGATTACAGTACCAAAAAATACTGAGGTATTTGTTTTTTCTAGAAATGAAACTTTAAGTATGTGAAGGCAAAAAAACCCCAATGCATTAATGTAAAAATAAATAAATAGGACTGTCATATAAAAGGGGAAAGCATCAGTGTTGCTCAAAGTGTCCAGGAATGGGAATACTGGTGAGCATGCTACTAACATGGAGCAGGCTTAGGACAGACAGAAGACAGAGGAACAGCTCAGGAAAAGACAGTGTCCTTTGATCTGTGTAGACATCCAGGTATCAGCTTTAAAAGTCAGCAGAAAAGTCAGTAACACCTAGTTCTCTGGCACTGGGTGAGCTCCTCTCCGTTTACGACACTGTTCTGGGATGCACGGATGGCTCCCCACAAAACACAAGTGACTGATGACACTGTCCTTGTAGTTATTGCACTTCTGAGACAGTAAGTCTAAGTTCTGACCATATTTTCACCCGCTTTTCAGCAGCTCGGGGAAGTGGTGATGGGGCTCTGAAGATAGCTTAAAGCACTAGACGAGGTGTGAACAGGGATGGAGACCGGAAAGTTAAAAACCGTGGTGGTCGATGCTCCTCTGTCCAATACTGACATAGCAGGGCTACCAGCTTCTGCTGAGCAGTTGGGGGCAAGGACCTGCGACTCAAACTGAAGCAGCTGCCCCATGAAGCTGAAGTTTGGGGAGATGATGCTTCTTCTCTGCTTCACAAACTCAAAGGCTTCATCCAGTTTGACTCTGTTGGTCCTCATGAGATAAGCAAGGCAGATGGTTGCTGACCGGGAAATGCCAGCCTGGCAGTGCACAAATACCCGTCCTCCATCGTTTTTAACAGAGTCTGAAAGAATTAAAATACGCAGTTAGCAAACAAGTCCCACTGCTTCCAGCGGTGGGAAAGCACAGGCTGCTGTTTTACATTTCTTTAATCCATCCCTTCCTTAGCCTAATAGGTGGACCCGGTGCTTCTGAGACAAAGAGAGCCTTTGTCCTGAGGGAGCCAGCAGTCCAGCTATTTTCATTCTGGCCTCCAATTCCAATTATACTAATAGCTCCTCCAGGTCACTTTAGCAGTCTTGCAAGATTACTTTAATACTGATCCACTTAAATTCACTAGCTCTTTTCTGCAAGATTCAAGATTTCAAACAGCTTTGTGAGGCTAAGATTATTCCTCCGAGTAGAATAAAATTAATGGAAGCGTTCCCCGAGCGTATCTCCCCGATGGAATGAAATTCCCCAATCTCAAATGTAGGTTTTACTGGGGAAAACAATGCCCCAGAATCACTTCCCAGGGTACATCGCCCCAGAAAAAGAACAGACTGTAAAGAGCGCTCATTTACCTATGAAATCAATCGCCTCGTTAAACCAGGAGCTGATATCTGCCTTGTGGTTGTCCTCCACGGGGATACTTTTATACTGGTAGTGCCCTTCGAAGTGGTTGGGGCAGTTCGCTGAGACATTGATTAACGCTGTGATCCCCAAAGCATCCAGCATGTCTTTTCGGGAGGCATGGTAAGCGCTGCCCAAGTAGAGGAACGGCAGGATTTCCACCGGCCCACCCTAAAACAGAAAGGACGGACAGCCGGTTAACTTCGCTCGGTAGTTTCCAAACAGCCTCCCCTCCTCTCCTCTCCTCGCACGAAGGCGGCAGGCTGCCTCGTCTTAGCGCAGCGCCTGCTTGCTCCCAGGTCTCGCACGCATCCAGCGGAGCCGCCCGGCCGCCCCCC